AGAGCATCGTCCTTATTCAGCTTCATTATTTTGGCATCTGCAGCTATCACGCTGGCGGACGAAAGAGGTTGAGGAAGCGCTTGGAGAGGTCGGTGCCGATGGTAGCAGATAAAATCCTTGTCCATATTGCAGAAGAAGAAGGAGTCAAGCGAGTGGTACTAATAGAAAGACCACTCCTTGATGTATAAGTGCTCACATTACCGGTTACCCCTCTTCAGGTAATGGGCAAGTATTTTGAGTTCGAAAAAGTGTGACAGAACTTTCCCGCCAACCTAATATAGTATACGCCATGTTCGTGATCAGGGAACCGAATAACCTCAGTATGCAAGTTTACATAGATTTTGGTGAGAAAAGTGGTGGCGCCATATGGCGCCAGCGTCAAAACGGATGTCATAATCGTGATCAGGATATAGAATTACTCTTACAGGCGAAGTTCTACAAAAATTTCTTGAATTTTTGGGTATTCATGGTTTAATAGTGGCGAAACATTTTGTTTACCATCGCTTCAGCAACAGAACCATTTGAATGTTTTTTCGAGAGTCCTATAGCAAACTTCACCTATACATTTTTGTAAATCACTTGCTCTTTTTGGAGAATGGCTAATTGTGACGCTCCACTCACTGCGGCTGAGCGACGTGAGCGCCGTTTGAAACGCATCCTGGGAGATGGAGAGAACAGGATCAAGAAAATATTGTCTGGTCCTGATGGAGGTAATTTGTTTCTTATAGTCATATTGCTAGTAGTTCGGTGGATCTATTTCCTTAGCTCTCAATCTTGCGAAGCATTGCCAGACATTCGTACGCTGATACTTCTAGGTCTCAAGTGCCGATTTGATGGATAGTAGGTGCTAGACGTCACATTTCTTGATATCGCTCAGTTTTCTGTCATCTTTGTCGGGGAGGAGGGAGGGAAGGGGGAGGGTGCGGTAGCACAATGTAACAGATTGAATGGTGCACTCTGTTGGAACCTTGGAGTTGTGCAGGTGATTCCGAAAACTTTAATGAAGGGGGATGGCAAGTCTTCTTGCACTGAGACTGTGTCCATAACTTGCATTCGGTTACGTTAATGATATCTGGCCCCTTACTTCCCGCGTGTAAAATCTTGATTGAGGACTGTTACTAAGGACTGGAGCTTTTGCTGCACTTTGATTAGTTCATCCTTACTCAACTACCAGTCATAGCAGGCTGTTTTCATGTGTTGCCATTTCCCATGAGCATTGTTACCAAGTATTCCCGCTCGGCTAGTCCTGTCTAGAAAAGCGCCTTTTAGTGATGTGATGTTTGGCAGGTTTCCCATTCTATTCAGGTATGGCATTGTTCACACTCTGCGAACCTGAGGAAAGAAACGCTTTCGGCGAAAAGGGTTTGATACGTATCGACAGGCGGTTCGGCGTTTCGCCGGCGCGAAAACGCTAGCGCCCGCCGCTCTGGCGTTTTTCTCTCGGGAGGAGTCCACGGAATCGATACATATAGAACTCTTTTCGCCGAAACGCTGAACCGCCGATCGATACGTATTTATTGCTTTTCGCCGAACATCTGATTTGTTAGGGTCGCAGACTGTGAACAATGCCTAGCACAATTTGTCTAGCCTCGACGATTTATGTGACTGGTTGTCCCTTCTAACCCACTTACACATTGCCCTTCTTTGTTTCGGATTATTTTTTTGAAGTGGTGAACAAATCTACTGACCTCCTTCGTAATGGCCATGCTGATACCGTTAAGGTGTAGGTAGGGACTGGCGCCGCTTTAGAAACACAAAAAAATAGGTTACCGTGCCATAGAGCGAAACACTAACATCGATGCAGGCTTCTTCACAAAGAAAAAATCTTTCTGGTTTAGAACAGTTTAGCTACAGACCAAGCTTTCTCTTGCTCGTATTGCTAGTTTTACTGTTGATCAGTTGAGAGAATGTGCGCCGGTAGACAAGAGGCAGAGCTGATGTAGCGAGAACTGGAGTTTTTTGTATGAGCTGCCAAAATAAGCTATGAAGGAATCGGACAGCCGAGTTCAAAATGCAGACATTTTTGCTCCCATAAAACGCTTCTTGTCAAAGAGAATGAGAATTCTTTTGATGTTGTCACAGTTACAGGTGAACAAGCGATTGCCACCAATGCTGGAGGGAGGAGAATACAAATTCCCATTCATGTCTAACGGTGAAGAAGCAGGCGAGAAGACAAACGATTCTGCTACAAGTAGGTTTATTGAACGTTCAAGCAAGGCCTAACTTTTGCAATCATATCATTAACACTATGGGCTGTAGTTAGATATTCTCCACAACGATTATCCAGCTCGTAAATGTAGCAGATTCTGGAAATTTCTGTTGTGCTTGTTTTTAGCTGTTAACGTGTTTCAAGAGAGCACTTGTGTTCTAAGTAATGACAGGTCCACAAGAGTCTTCTTCACTTCGTAGTTTCATCAAGGGAACAATGAAACTCCATAACTTTCCACCTGCTCATAATGTTTGTGGAAACGCAGGGTATAGTACGGGAATTCGGAAACTGAAGGAAACTGATTCAGAAAACTGTGTGTGCCGGACATTGCATTGTATCTGTAGAATGCTCGGAAGACGGCGACTTCCGCTAAAACTTTAGCCCAGTAAACAAGTGCATGGATCTCGGGAGACTGAAAACCATGCCTGAACATATTGCTCTCCCCCCTCGCCTCCTCCTCTCCGACCAATTACCTTTTCTCCATCCAAGATCTCTCCTTAGCCGGGAAGTCCGCCACTTAACCAATATAGCTTTAAATGATAGACTGATTGAATCAAGTAGTCCTATGGTAAATCAGTAAGGTTGTTTACAAACATAGATAGCAAAACTGCAAACTGCATTTCACAAGAAAGTTATGAGCAGGTGAAGTTTGTAATGGTGCAGTAGGGTGGGTTTGGTGGTGAGCTGTGAAGCATGAGCGAGGAATCGCATGCGTCAAATCGGGTCGTCGACTCGTAATCTACCACTGAAATTCAGCACACTCAACGCACGTAATGTAGATTCCTCGCTTATGCTTTACAGTTCACGAACCATAGCCTCCACAATATGCATCCGCTCACCATTACGAGACTTACACTGCTGCATAAAGTTGCTTGTGAAATGCAAGTGGCAGTTTCGCTATCTATATTTGTAAATAACCTTATAGGCTCTATCGATCTACCCAGGTCTTTATTCCAAGTTCCATGGTAAGGTTGGCGGACCCTTCGTCGTCAGCCCTTATTATTTGGAAGTAGAAGGGAGAGGCCGGAATGCTGTTTTTTGGCGACCGATTGGTAGTAAGATGCTAATAATTTTTGTTGAAAGATAAATTTGGTGGAGTTGGGAGCGCGTGCCTATAGGTTAACGTTTTTGGGAGTTCAGGGATTTCTGATGTGTCAAACAAGCAGATCATCTAATGGGAACTGTCTTAGAGACGTTTCAGATGATTAGGGACAGGGGATCGTGCAAGGGTGCATAGAAGGGTAACTTGACCGTGAATATGATTGCTCTAGCACAAAACCGGACTGAGCGTGATACCGAGAACTGCTGAAAAACTCTAGATATTGCAGAAAGGACAAAATTCCTGCAAAATTTACGTTCTTAGATGTCCACGCAACGAGAAAAACATCCTGTGCTTTCCGAGTTTCAACCATTTTATTGTTTCATTGCAACCAACTGCACAATTTTTTTGGAGTTTTGAGTACCTTTAGTAGAAGATCTGAATGCACAAGTGTTCCATTCAGGTACGTCCACTTTTAAACCGAGTCCTCCTTCTGCTTCATATCGACTTCTGTCCAGGATCAGGCAGATGGATGTACCTTTAAGTCTTCTTTATGGTGAGTTTCATCTAACACTTGAAACATTAACTGCAAATCTCGTTCCACATTTGTTCGGGAATTGCGGTCGCATTCCGAGTTTGACATGCGGAAACAACTTGTACGATTTCTCTTTCCGCGCCCCTTCTATGACGGCTTACTCTTCCTGATTTTTTAGTGGCTGACTATTGAATTTTTCATTACGATCCCTTCATTCTGTAGGAGGCATGAGGAAGTCAAACGAAATTACATATGTGAAATGAATGTATGTAATGGATGTATGAATGAATGTAATGTTTTTATCGTTCATAATTATGTGAGACCTCTATATTTGACACTAACAATAATAAGCCAAGTCAAAATTGATCAGGGCTTGCGTAAGGTCTCGAATCAGTCAGATAATGACTGTTCTCGAATATTACTTCATTTTTGAGTCGCACAGAGCATGAGCGCCAGGTGAAGGAAGCTTATTTTGGGCTTTCTAGAACATCGACCGTTAATTATGCTATTTACCTTTGATGAAAATCTCCCTCGAAATCAACTAGCATTCAAGGCTAGGTTCCGGATTTGACCCATGTAATTTGCAGGTATTTTCGTTCGTCTTGTTATGCTGAGATATAGTACCTTCAACATATTCCTGCCTTGGTTCCTGCTCTTCTTTGGTACCCGTTTCTTTTCATTTGTAAGTACGACATTTTCTATTCCAAGTAGTTACACAGTGTGGCTCGAACATGAAAAAAATTTATAATTAAAAGACAAGATGATTGGGAATGGGGGAGGGCTCAAGTGACTGAACACAAGGGAGCGAAATCAAGATCACACAAACAGTTATAACTAGTTGTAGACGATTGGGAAAGAAGTCGACAGGAGGCGAAGGGGTTCAATGCAGTGACCAGGTAATCGCTCTTATACTGATGGTGGGATCAAAATTTGTTCATGTCAGCTGAGCCCTCTATGCCTTCAGCTTTGGAGGCAAACTCGTGCACAAAAAATGAGCAAATATGTATTTTGTGTCCGTGATGGAATCTGGCGTTGAGTTATTTCGTTTGCTTTTTTTTTCGTTAGTTGAGCCCCATGAATTTTTATGTCGACTGACTACTCGTTCGGATACCCCACAAAATAGGAGCCCAGTGTACAACCTATTCTTCACCAGTCCTTATTGCTTTGTTAATATGGCGATGAGAGGGGGCAAGCACTACTTTCTTTTCGCGGACATAATGTGACAAGCTACACTCCTTACCTT